TAAGGATTTTAACAGCAAGAAAAACTTCAAAATCAGGTGCGAAACTTTCCATACAAACTAGGACGCCTGTTTTAATGCAGATGCGTTGTACCAAAACCAGACAAAGTTAAAAAACCTGATAATGGAAAATCCTGAGTGCCTCAACAGGGGAGAAGGGCACTGCGTAGCAGAATATAGCATGTATAACAACTCATTAAATCGCTGAAATCGAGGGCATTAATCAATAAAGAGCGTAATTCTGGAAGTCGTCAAAACAAAACGAATACACAGTAAGTCGAACGTACACGAAGAAACCTATGGGAACAAATAAGCATGCTAACACTTGTACAACACAATTACCAACAAATGCTTCCACCTCTCAACTCCTGAAGTCATCGTGTTTCATACTCCACAGTTCGTATTCCAGTTTACTTTATCTGTAGTTTTACCTTATCGGAAGTTAAAACAACTAGATCCTCACGCAACTAAGGTCATGACTCCGGTACAAACCAGCGCTCGTTATTCAAGCACATGTGTAGGGGGTGGGGATTTAATCAACCAAGTGTGACCGCATTACAGGTGGAGTGCTACTTTCGAATGCAAGATCTTTGCTGATCTTACTCCGACATGGGCAATGGTTGCATACATTTGATTCTGCACTAAATTATTCAATCAATATAGCAAAAATTATTCATTTACATGTGAAAAAGTCTATAATCTTTAATTTAAAACAAATGTTTACATTGCTAAGAACTTCTTTTGAATAATAAATACATTACGCTTAATCAATTAAACTGTATTTCAACAATGTAGTTCCCTCTAAGCCGTTTTAATACATTAATGTATTTAGCAGGTAAGCACATCAAACACAGGTCAATCCACTGCAGTTGTTTTGCTGATTCAAGATCGATGGCATCAAACGAAACTAATAGTAAATTTTTTAAATTACCAACGCGCTTTACTAATACATCGGTGGCATCAACTACAAAACCTTCTTACCAACAGTTCTGGTTAGTGTCGTCAAAATGAATCAGCAAATCAGCTACAGTTCCAACAAGAGGCCTCGAAATCGAAATCAAGTGAAATCAGTAGGCAAATACAATTTAACTCATGGCTGCTAGTGTAAAATTTGCATTTTAATGACTTAACGGCTAGTACAGGTTGCAATACCCGCAAGCTCCATCAGTTTAATGACATATGACTTTGAACAAGGCATAAAGCTAAAACTACTTCGTACGAGCCAGAAAACGTATGTGCAACTCTTCAGGCAAGGTCTATCTTATACTTTTATTTTCAAGAAAATAATCTAGACTTCATAATGAAACTAAAAAAAGTTCCTGTTATTAGTCAGGATTCGTTTCACGTGATCGAAGCTATACAGTTAAAATTTAAATTTCGTGGAAAGATTTCTTTTTCTAAAAGATGGCCTAAACCGTGTCTTATCCTGGTAGGCCATATAAATTTGCCAGTGCACTAATTTAACTTCCGCATCGCTCGACCGTAAAACAGAATGATGAAATCCAGGGGCATGATTACGCTGGAGGAGTTTCAAACGAACGATGAGCTGAGAATGAGCAATATATACTCCATCTCAGATGTAAACCACGAATCTCTTATTCAGCAAGTCACAAAGGAGCTCTGCTAGATTTGCCCTGCTCACCTTGTCTCTTCCGCGCATTGAACTGTCTATTCCCAAACGCGACACCATTTGTCGGTAAGGCATCAACTTTTTTTTTAATAAACGAAAGCTGTTGGCTTGTTCTTTGAGATATTCTCGCTTTAAACGCTTCCATTCGTTCCTAAACCTCAATATTATATTACAACTGTCAATGTGACGGGTCTTCCATACCATGAAATGACGTAAAACTTCTTCGTTGTGTCTTGCTTTCTCTGAAATGCCAGTAACTTTCTCCGTCGGCGATTCTTTGGAGAGCGTCGTCGTTTCCCGGCAGTTCTTAGCGTGGTCGTGAGCGGATATTGTGTTCGGCCTATCGCGTTTCGTTCCGTTTCGGCGGTAGGATTGCCAGTGAACGTTGTTTCAGGAATAAACGATTTGACGTCATCCGGGTCTTCCAGCTTGACATCGGTGCACGCTCGAACGACTGATGCCGCATTGTCATACTGTATAAACGCGAATCCCTTGTTGAGAGTCGTAGTGCCATTTTTTAGACGCTTCTCCGGCATAAAGATATCGACTACAAACCCATAACGGCTGAATATCTTAAACAATTCTTGTTTAGTCATCGTTTCTTCCAGTCTTTCCTAAAAACGGCAAATTCTTCACCAGGCAACGACAACAATAACAAGGAGAAAACAAGCTCTAAAAAATCTCATTGAATCCCGTGGTCATACAAATGTCATAGCCAGGTAGGGAACTGATCTTCTCCGCAATGCAAATTGAAAAGAAAACAGGCTTACCGCATGTAAAGGTTACATCACATGAAACAAGGGGCAACCTTTCTTAAATCCGTGCAAAACGTAGAAGCGACGACGTTAAAGCAAAGTACCAAAGTCCGTTACATAGGCAAAGATTGACTTAAGTCGGTACCAGAACAGCCAACTACAGAAAATAGCAGCGAAGCTGCTATGCGCTCATCGGCCACTTCACTCCTCATGTGATGTTGCATGAATGGACAAATGCATGGTCTAAAGTAGGCCAAGGCTTTCTGCATAGGATACGACTCTGCCAACTAAAGCTTCGCGTATCGTCATGTAGCAGTACATAAACCTAGTACCTGTGCATTTCTAATTAAGAACAACTACTTATAAGTATAAAATTTTCTGATTAACAATGTACGGTCACAGGATAAACCAGAAAAATCAATACAGATTAAGACTAGCGCTTTCGGCGACATTTCTTTTATTTTTTGATCCGGCTTCACTCTAATACATATCAGGTGTTTGGAAGAGGAAATGTTTCATAATGCGTCAGTGAAAAAGAAATAAAAGGTAGCCTCTCATCCATCCATCAATATCTTTTTTGAGTCTTTTTCATACTTTTAAAACAAAGCAATTTCAGAGAGCCCTTATACATGCTGGATCACATTAAGCATGGCCTTACTGTGAATCAGCATAAGCACCACAATAATCTTATTGGCAATCAAACCTCGGCGCCGCCACTCGAAAAAACCAGTAATGACAAAAATACGGAATCCATCATAGGGCAAGCAAAATGGCATATATACGCTAGAGTCTGTAAAGTGGCCGTGAAACATATCATAAACCCTGAAATGGTCATCAAACGAAGCTTTGACAGAAAATGCTGAAACGCTTATGAAAGCTCTGTCCAGCAAAATGATGCTAAAATAAGGAGCGCCTATGGAAGGGCTGAGAGACTCGAACGTGCTGATTTTCAAAGAAAGCGTAGCGACATTTTTTTTGACTTTACTCTCTAAACAGAGAATGACAACTCACTGTCAAGATTTATCAAATACTTCAGCGATATCTGATGAATGACAAAAAATCTAACATTATTACACCACTTGAATGGCGAAGATCTCATAAATCCGAAGTAGAAACACCTTTCTAACTTATTGGAATTTAACGCTGCCTATCTGACAGGAGGGAGGCATTTGTCACTGCGTTGCCACCAACTACGTTTCGTTTATCATCGTGCTTCATGAAGAAGTTGGCTGCTTCGGGTACTCGCCCATTAAACAGTAATTTACTGCTACTAGTGCTGTCAACGTGTGCAAACCGCGAAATGCTTAGCAAACATTATGAATATCGAACATCCGCATCTCTGCGCTCCCTAAAAACCATCCTCTCGTCCTCGTCGCAGGGGATGGGCAGCGATCAAAAGGACTGTTCAGCAGGATGAAGCAAGGTGGGATTTGCTACGCTTTCACCGCTATGGTAGCCTTGAAGGCCTGCTGCGAATCTGAAACGGTCAGTCAACGAAGCTCTGATGGGCTGCTATAAAATCGTGATTGGTAATCATGACCACCCAGTGGTCAATGGTTAGAAAATGGCTGCCACTGTTCAGCCGGCAGGTAAAATATGCTCTCCATTGTCGAAATCAATGGCGGCCTCTGATTCACAGGCAGCAACCAGCTCGTGCTGTAATGAGGCCGCTGCCTGCTCTACCACGCTCTATGCTTCCGTTTGCTGCAGTGAGACAAACCATCAAAAGACAACTAACCAGAAGAAATACGAACTCACTGCATAAAGGTTTTGACCCCTACATCGTCACCGCGAATGCCTGATGACATTCATTCATTGTTGTCTGATTGTCACAATGGTACCCGTCGATTACAGGGCATGACGATGCAATGCATTGCTGCTGCCGATTACAGTTATAGTCAATGGCGAACCTTAAAGTGCCCACGATACCGCGAACAGTTTTTGACTGGACCAACATCACGATGCAGTCGTGTATCAATGTATCGCAGATAATCAAATACCGTGGTAACTTGTCACTCTCAAATACCTCCTAACTATAGAGAAGGAAGGGTTCAGTGTGATTTCACCGTACGACTTGGCGTAACGACTTGTGCGAATCATCTCTAAAGCACTGTTAATGTCAGCCAACTCCAGCTGGTTCAAACCAAAATTATGTTACAATTTCATACGACTAAAAAAATC